TTCCTCCCTAACAGTATGCACCAGGTTTTCCAGGAGTCAAATATATGCATGTTCTGGAATAAAGTGTGATCTAAGACCCAGAAAGGAAACTCACTACACACACACACACACACACACACACACACACACACACATAAACACACAACACAGATGTGCTCATGCGTGCATGCACACACACAGATGCGTGAACACGCATGCGTGCGTGCACACACACTGTCCCTGGCTCCTCATACACACACACATACAGACGTGCGCACGCATTCCCTTACAGTCCTGGAGATCAGAAGTCCAAAGTCAGTTTCACTGGACTGAAGTTAAGCTGTCCCTTTAGGAGATGTGGGGGAGAATTCATTTTCTGGCCTTTTCCAGCCTCTAGAGCTGTGCCCCCTGTATCCCTTGGCTTGTGGCCCCTTCCTCCATCTTCAAAGCCAGTAGAATAGCATCTTTTCAATCACCACCTTTCCTTCTTCTGCCTCAAATCTCTTTCTGCCTCCCTTTTATAAGGACACTTGTGATGACCTTTTGAGACCAAACACACAATCCAGGATGATCTGTCTGTATTTTTAATTTATTATTAACACATTGGCAAAGTCCCTTCTGCCACATAAGGTGCCATTCACAGATTCCAGGGATCAGGATGTGTGTATTTGGTGGGGGAGGGGGCTGTTATTCAGTCTACCACATTACTTTCTTAAATGTTCAACAGGAAAATTCAGTTGAGTGGCTCTAACAGACCTTTACACAATGGCAATTCACTGAGGTGTATATGAAATCTTTGGTCTTCTGTCCTTCAAGGACATTAGTCATATTTTCTGGCTCTCTCTAAGGACACACTGATCTCCTCAATCTCAGTGCTGACACTGTGAAGAAAAGTGCCCTTCTTTGTCATTCTGCTTTCTTTCAGAAAGCAGGAAGTGCTCAAAGATTAACAGAGATGCATCAGAAGGACTGGGCCAAAGTTGGGACATAGGAACATCAAAAAGAATGTCAGGATTGGCACACATTAGCAAAACTTGGTGGAACAGTCTGTTCTTGGTGCTGTTTCTACCATCGGAACCGTGCCTCTATGGTCCTTCTTGGTCCTGACTTTAAGGCTTGGCCAGTGCCAAAATGAGGTCTTAGGAACAATTATGTTAGTCAATTCGATCCCATTCACCTTCTTGTGTTAGTGTTCTTTTCAAAAGGTCCTGTCCTCTTGAGTATGAACTTTAAGGAACTGTTTGGTAAACCAGCACCGTGACTCCCCATTCTGGAATGGCATCCGGGTAGTCTGACATGAGCCCTTCGTGCCCAACCATCCATACATTTCGGCTTGAACTGAAGGGCACAGAACTCTGTATTTCCACAAGGTGATCTCCTTGGCTCGGTTCCCCAACCCCCAGACCCAGGTACAATTTAGGCCTCCAGTACTGGGATTTTCACTTCACTGCTAATCCTTTTCCTCATTAAGCTTGGTCATCAGCATGTGAACAGGGCAGTTACTGGTGTTGGTCTGGCCCTTTTTTAAAATCCATGTGACAAGACTGGAACCTGAATTCCTAAACTGATGGTAATTTGGCTCTTCAGCTTGTGGTTAGGTCCTAAGTACAATGTATTTTCTTAGTAAGGTTTTGGTAGTTGATTCCAAAATAGCCAGCTGGCCATTATCTTAGCCCATTGTTTTTCTCATTTAATGAAAACCAAACGACTAATTCAGTAGGTCAGTAAATCAAATAGAGATATTTACAACAAAAGTGGTATCCTTCTCCAGTGTCCCTGGCTCCTCATTACACACTCAGGTCACAATAAAAATCCAGATGGGGCTGCCACCCTGTTCTCAATACCTACAGATAGAATGGCTTTTTTGATTTTGATAAAAGGAATAAAGGCCGATTGTAGTCTTGGCAGGGATATCAGTTTTTATCCTTAGAGAGTCTCTCAGTCCCTATGAAGGAAAATGGCTGACTCTGCCCTATTTCTGAGGAGCAAACGTGCACATTAGAAAACCACCAGCATAACTACAATCTCTCTGGGAGGCCACCACAGAGAAAACCCAGCTTATTTTGGCGACTAAGTGGAAAAATACCTCCTGTTTGCCTATGTACACATGTATGCATCCGGGGCTAGGATGGAGCAGAGGCTGGGAGGTACAGAGGAAGAAGGGAAAAGGATGGGGGTAGAAAAGGAGATCAAAACCATGACAAGGATGGTACGTGTGTCTGTGTAACTCCAAGTGTACTTCTGCGCATGTGCGTGGGGTCTGTGGCTGCGATGCGGGCACAGGAGAGACAATATGAACAGAGAGTGCTCACGTTTGATGGGGACATTGGTTCTCAAACTCAGCAGCAACAAGGAAGCCATCTGGGAAGCCTTAAAGATGTGGATGCTTGGGCCCCAACCCTGGAGACTCTAGTCTAATTGGTCTAAGTACTACGGGGAGTGGAACCACAGTCCCCGGAAGGAGTCTACATTCCAGGCTCCAGAACATGCAAATATGTTACAGTACATGGCCAAGAGGCATTAAAGTTGCTCACCAATTGACCTTAAAATGGGGAAATTATCCTAGATTATCTGGGTGGGCCAAATGGAATCACAAAGATCCTTAAACGCAGAAGAGATAGGCAGAAGTTAGAGGTCAGGGTGATGCGATGTTTGCAGGACTCAGTTCACTGGTGTTGGCTTTGAAGATGGAGGAGGGGGCCATGAGCCAAGGAATGGAGGAAGCCTCTAGAGGCAAGGAAATTAATTCTCCCCTGGAGACTCCAGAAAGGAATTGCAGCCCTGCTCACATCTTGCCCTTTTTTTTTTTTTTTTTTCCAGCCCAGGGAGATGTGGGTCAGACTTCTGACCTCCAGAACTGTAAGATGATAAATGTATGTTGTTTTTAAGCCACTAAGTTTGTGGTTATTTGTTACAGCAATAAAAGAAATCTAAAACACTGGTATGGCCTGAGCTTCCAGGGGTTTCAAAGCCCCCCGGGTGACTCTAACAGGCGGCAAAAGGACGATAACCACCAGACTACGGGGAAGACAAGACAAGGACATGCTGGCATGGTTGCTTATGCTGGGAAGATGCACGGTGATCTCACCCGGGAAGTCAGCAAGTCACCCACCAAAGAATGTACCATTGGTTCTTAGCCACCCGCCCAGACATGACTACACAGTGGCTTACCGAGACACATCACAGGATGGGCCTGCTTCACCATCCTGGTGGCTAGAATCCTTTCTTGTCCAACCGCTAACTATGCTATACTTCCTTTAGAGAAAGAATAATTGGGGCGACTGGGTGGTTTAATTGGCTGAGCGTCCAAATCTTGGTTTTGGCTCAGGTCGTGATTTCAGGGTCATGGGATCGAGCCTCGCATAGGGCTCAGCACTCAGTGAGAAGACTGCTTAGGATTCTCTCCCTCGACTTCTGCCCACCTCCCTGTAAAATTAATAAATAAATCCCCCTTTCTTTTTTAAAAGAACAATTATACCTATGATAAGCAGATTTTCTCTAGAGTTTATTTTCTTACTAACACTCTCTCCAGGAAGGAACTGGCCAATCACTGAATTATATGCAAATATGTAAATTAGTTAGCACCATCAGGAAAAGGACTCAGATATCCTCCCCTCCGTGTTTGAACTAGTAATGAGCACTAGTAGGATTATAAAGATAGAGGGTTTCTCCATTTCCTTTAGCAATCTACTTATTCACCATAGACGATAAATAGATGAGTTTATTTCTTTATGACAAATGCGGTACTGTTGTGGGAAGAAATGAACTGATTCTCTGTGGAGATTGAGAAAGGAACTCCTTGCTGGACAGTTTCCATTCCTAGGACCGCTGTGCTCACAGGCCTGTGGTCATTTTTCTTGAAAGCAAACCATCGCGAGCCTCCACGGTACTGTCCCCAGAGCTAAAGCCTTAGAACCTTCCACTGTTCTCTCCCTACGTGGGCTTTCTTAGAGAGGACGGGCAGTGTGGTAGAAAGAGCAGTCACAAGGATCCGATGACCTGTGCTGGAATTTCAATGCTGGCACTTCTAAGTGATGTGATGTTAGGAGGCCCCTCGGCCACTCTGAGCTCCGTCGCTAGCAAACATAGCGTGGCCTTTGTGACGCTATGTACTGATTACATGCAATGACAAAGACGGAGGCCCTACTATTTCGACACTTTCACATGTTACCTCCACGCAGAAGCTTCTGACGTTCCTTCTCGTTGGTCCTGTGTTCTCGCTGAGCTCTGGTACCAAACCTCCAACTGTCTACTCAATACTGCCACTCAGATGGCTCTCGGGCATCTCTAACTGGACATGTGCCACCTGGATTTGGGCTCTCCACTCACAGACCACTGGCCCCCAACCCCCCAACCATCCACTGCAGTACAAGTGCCATCGGTCACCTGCCTCTGTCCTCTTTCTCTCCATTCCAACGGCCGCACTGCTCATACCATGCGCCACATGGTGGGGTCCCCTCGTACCATGTGCCACAAGCTTGGGAGATTTTCGCGGGGGGGGGGCACACTGACAAAGCTGTTTCCCCAAGCCATCCTGCTGTGGTTTTCAAATTATCTTGCTCCAACCAGATCTGTCACATCAAGTCCTGAACAGAGATCTTCAAGCACTTTTCTGCCCCACGGTCTGCAATTTATGAGGGAAGAGGTGCCAGGAACCCTAGGTGCATGGACACCAGGCTGCCTGTGGCCTGGAGCACCACACGTCAGTGTACAAAGCTCTGAGCAATTTCATCCCATTATCACATAACAGAAAAGCTCCTCGGACATGTGGCTCGTAAAACTAAGTATTTTTTAAAGCAGCGACAAAGGACTAGACATTTCCTATCAAATTTCTTACGATGCATTCAGCTCACTACAATCTAACTCTGCCACAAAGCACCCTCGACTGCATTGAACTGTAATACTCCACGGGTGCTAAGCTACTGTACGTGTCTTGTAGTCTTCAACTCGCTTCACAAATATCTGAACCTCTCATATGCACGCTACACGGCAAACATGCTTGCCGCCAGACGTGTTCTTACCATTTTGTTCATCCAGTTCATTCCCAATTTCCTTCCCCATCTGTTTCTGCCGACTGATGATAGAGGACAGGGCATCCAGGCCTGCATCCTGTTCTGAAAGAAGAAGAAGAGGTGGCCACTAAAAACCAAAGGAAAACAATTTTGAGTCCAACCCAGGCATGTAACACAATTCAATATACCGTAAAAGTAACGCTTAGGACTGGAAAAGAAAAAACAAAAACAAAAACAAAAAAACAGTTAATATTAAAGAGAAAATAAAGAAAAAAAATAGTAAATACCAACCTCATACCTTAAACGAAAACAGTTGTCAAATAAATTAAAATTTTAAATATTACAATGGAAATAACGTAAGATTTGACTACATAATGTTTAAACTTGAACACATAAAGAGCAAACGCAGATCAGTAAGAAAAATATTCCAATTTTCTAAATGGGCAAAGGAGAGAGACATGAAATTCACAACGGAATACCAAAGGAAAAATAAATAAAAGCTTTGACAGCACTGATTTTTTAAAAGATATCGATAAAAATCAACAATGAGCTTTTTTTTTGGATTATCGTATTTGGAAGGACTGAAAAGCTCGGCAGGCCCAGGGTTAACTAACGTGTGAAGGAGGAGCTCTGAAGCACTGTCATGGGAAGACAGGAAACATACCTTTCTACAGAGCAAATCGTGCCTACGTTTTCACCTCTCAACTGCATGTGTACAAACGTAAGAGAACATTCAGATGGTACGCAACGAGGTATTTACGAGGACATCCCCTGAAACGTTTCCTGGGCTGTTTATCAGTTTACTGCCTTTCAGTCCCAAAGTCACCCTTTTTGGCTGTTCAGTGAAAACGCATCAGGATCCTTTAAGTACTTCTTCCTTTGCCTGCTCTATCAATAGGCAGGACTGCAGACACTTGGAAGAAGGATGGTGTTTGGCTTCTGGGCTCCCTCCGGCTCCCTCGACAAGCTCCTGCAGTGCTTACAGCTACTCCCTCCCCTGGCGGGTGGGACTTGGGCTCGCTGGGGCCCTGGTCGACCAGCACTCTCTCCCCAGCGGCAGAGTATCCTGCCCTGTTGCTCTCCTCCCCTGCTATGGTTAATAAAGATGTTACATTTTCCCTGTTCAAATCTTTTTCCTGATTGGACCCTAGATGCATACATGTATAGTAGTGAAAAACTGGAAACGATCTAATGCCCAAACACAGGGATTTGTTTTAAAATATGTAGTATATTCTTAAAACGCTAGACAGCTTTTAAAAAAGATATCGTATATGAACATTTTGATGTTAAAAGAAGTTCATGATACGTAGGTAAGCAGGATACAAAACATGTATAGTAAAATAGCATTTTTGCTTTAAAAAATGAAGACATATGACTTTGCTAGATTTTGAAAATTTAAAGGTAAAAGAATTCAAGTTATTCGAGATCCTTTCTTTAAAATGTGTTGTTGCTCTCTGTTTCTGTTTTTGTGTTTCACGGGACAGTCTCCGTGAGCTCTTTGAACTTTTCTCTTCACTTTCTGGGGCACTGGGAAGAACATTCTGGGGCCGAGTCTAATGATAAGGGATCTTTCTACCCCAGCCATATGCTAGATAAGGGCAACGAGCCATTCACAGCTTCACTTGCTGATGGGGATTTTTAAATGGGACTTTTAAAAAGTGTCTCAGAAAAGCAGATCTACAAGAACAGAAATCACGAAGGTCTTTTCTTACCCAAGATCACATTAACGTTTACTTATTTTTTTTTCCTCGTCTTTTTATGGAATTAAGCCATTACACTTAACTTGTTAATTCATCTGGAATTTATTTAAACTAATGGTGTGAGGTAAGGACCCCTCAGTAACATGTCTTTGACACTATGTACATTTTTAACTATACAAATGACCTGCCATCTCCAGGGATTGTTCCAAGGGGCCATTTTATAGCAAAATCACTTTATAATGAGGACCTTTCAGGCTTGAGCAACAACCTTTTGGATGGCCTCCAAGAAAAATCTGTCGTCAACCTAGTGCTTCTATAGGACGGCCGACCTTGCGGTACAGTTCCAAATGCATCCCAAGCACAGCCTATATGAAGGGTCAAGGGTCAAGGGTCAATGTGGCTTTAAAGGTAAAACAATTTAACTAGAATTAGGAAAAGAATCAGCAAAGCCCTGAAGGTGCTTTATCTGGCAAAGACCTAGATTATGAATGGAAATACCAATACTCCTGCACTCTTTTCTCTCAATCTTGGCTCACTGCCTGACTTGACTACCAAAAGGTTATCTTGCTGATGTAAAACAGAATGAGGGTCGAAAACTCGGGGCCACTTATTTCTGTAAGAACCTGGGAGCTCCTCACTAGGATAAAATTTCCATTCCATAATGCAAAGACACAGAGGGTCCAGGTAAGGGAGATGCTGGGTATGTATTAACAATCATACTGATGACCTGAGCTTCTCTAGGCTTACGGTGGCATTTCCAAGGGGATGCAGTGCAGTCACCCGAGTGACAATGAGCAACAGCAAATGCTACTCACAGAGACAGAAGCAATCAAGACCCACGCAATTATGTGAAGCCGTGCGAAAATACGCTAATGGCACGCTCGTAGCTCGCTGCCCCTAATCTGCCCTCCGTCACATAACCCCCGTCACTATGATATCATAACCATTTGCCACACACCACACTCTATCAACCGTCTGTCAGTTTAAGGATGGATGAGCACCGTGCTACCCAGAGTAACGGCCCCCTGAAGATGTCCACATCCCAACCCCTGGAACCTGAGATTAGGAGACCTTCCATCGCAAAGTAACCGTGCGGATGTGATTCCGGCTACGGAATCTGAGCTGGGAGAGGGTTCTGGATGATCCAGCTGGGTCCAGTATAACCGTGAGTCCTTTAAAACAGAGAATCTGTCCCAGCTGTGGTGAAAGGGAGACTTGAAGAAGGTCAGGGAGATGCAAGTTGCTGGCCTTGAACACTGAAGAAGGGGACTGGGAGCCAAGGGATGTGGGCGGAGGGGCTCGAGGAGCCAGAAAAGGTGAGGGAACGAATTCTTCCCTGGAGCCTCCAGAAAGGAACCAGCCCTGCCAACACCTTGATCTTGGCCCAGGAAGAGCTGTATTGAACTTGTGACCTGTAGAACAGGAAGATAATAAACTTGTGTATTAAGTCCCTAGGTTTGTGCAAATTTATTGCAGCAGCAACGGAAAGCTAATACAGTCATTGTTTCTGAAAATCCCCTCAGAATAATTAGGTGTTTGGATCCTTCCTATCTTTAGACGCTCGGAAAAACCATCCCCTCACTGAACATCATGTAATTGTGGGAGGGCTATCTGGTGGCTCTAGATCAGAGAGGGACAGTCATCACAACGTGTTCTTGCCAAAAATAACAAACTCGATTCTGATCAAGCCACCAAATCTAACTACCAATTTACAGAAAATATGTGGGGCAGAAGAATATGTTAAACAATATATGGCATTACAAATAGCAAGTCTAGATAGTGGGAAAGTACAGGGCAAATGACCTTGATTCTTCAACAGAGAAACTGCAAAGGGAAAAGAGAGGGTTGGCAAAAGCACCTATCTATTAAAGAAACTTAAGGGACATATCAATCAGTTGTAATGTATAGACCACATTCAGATCCTGAATCAAATGACCTAAAAAAAATCCGTTGTGGGAAATCTGGGAGATATGAACACTGGGTATTTGATTATCTTAAGGAATTCCCGTTAAATTATTAAGGGTGATAATGGCATTGTGGTTATATTAAAAAAAAAAAATCTTTACCTTTTATAAATATGCTTTAGAGATACACTCCCAAATATCCGTGCTAAAAGGATATGTCGCCTAAGATTTGCTTCAAAAATAATCGCGGGGGGTGGGGGGCGCCTGGGTGGCTCAGTGGGTTAAGGCCTCTGCCTTCGGCTCAGGTCATGGTCCCAGGGTCCTGGGATTGAGCCCCGCATCAGGCTCTCTGCTCGGCAGGGAGCCTGCTTCCTTCTCTTTCTCTGCCTACCTCTCTGCCTACTTGTGATCTCTGTCTGTCGGATAAATCAATAGAATCATAAAAAAAATAATAATAATAATCCAGGGGATGGGCAGTGTGGGGAGTTGGGTAGACGAAGAGATGAAACAAGACTGGTTAGGAGTTGGTAATGGTTGAAGCAATTGATGGGCAAAATGGGACTGTTACCTTATTTTACCTACCTCCTTATTTTTGAAACTGGCCATGGCAAAAGGTTACCAACATTTTAACAGGCAGAGAAAACCAAGGGACATTCCTAAGAGCTGCCACGCCTGACCAAGCACATGACCAGGGCCCCAACGGCTGGAGCTGTGTCTTCCTTTCCTGTACTTTCGCCCCAGTTCTGAGCCCAAGCAGTGGCACCGAGCATACCTAATTAATATGCTTCCTCAAGGAATGACCACAGAGGGTTGCACAAGAATGCACTTTAGTGCCCGCTGGACACAGGGGAGGGCTTGCGAGCAATACTAGACAGTCCCGAGTTTAGGTCATAGGAAAAGTAGTTGATGCTTTGTCAGTCCAGGGCCCAGACAGAAGCAATGGGAATTCTCACATTTGAGGCAAGGAGAAGGGGAAGTAAGGGACGGAGGAGGAAGGCTGGACACGCTGGATAAAGTTAATTACTCCACTGGGAAAACTCCCAGATGTTTCTATTTTTGTTTGCGTTTTAAGATTTGGGGAGAGGAATCCTGGCATAGGTAACAGCCACAAGAAAGGGTATCTTCCAAGAAGGTCATTTGTGAAGCTACGGTTGCCGAGGTTTGAAGGCGAGCTGCCCAGCTTTGCCGGGTCTGGCTAGCCACCTTCCCCACAGCTATTCCACACGCCGACCCAAAGGGACCTGAGAACACAGAAGTCCAGAACAAGTGCCCAACTTTCTGCTGGAATCTAGAAAGAACATCGATGGAATCATGGTACGAACAGACGGCATTAAAACCCTATGTACAGAGCCCCTGAAAAGGTGGAAGGGCATGTCCTCTCCTCCACGGTCAGCCATCTGACTCAGAGGCAAGGGTCTGTCCTACCCAAAAAGTGACCCTTCTCTCTTCTGTCTCAGGGATTTTCGAGGTGATCCGGTTAATGCTGGCCGCTCACCCG